TCACAAAAAAGAGGACATATTTTTAATGAACTGACGAATGCGAATTGTGTTAAATTACCACGTTTGACGCAGAATCCGCTAAGTTAAAGAAAAAAATCGGTGAGCTTTTCTCCGCATCCGCTCAACGGCCGGTGAGCTTTTCTCCGCATCTGCCGGTATTGCGGTGAGCGTTTCTCCGGTGAGCTTATCTCCGGTGAGCTTTTCTCCGGTGAGTTTTTCTCCGGTGAGCTTTTCTCCGCCGCCCGGTATTTATACACGCCAAGGTTTTTCATTTGAACATTGCCTATAAGAGCTCCACCACCCACAACACAATTTGCGGCACGAAATTCGTTTTCTTTTCGCCTGAAAGTGGTCACATGTCCGCCCAGGGTCACGTGGCGTTTAACTTATGTGTACCAAATTTAAAATCAAAAGTCGTAAGTCATCTAAGACACACATTCAATATTAAAAAAATAGAAGAATACAAACCCTATTTTTGTGGGCTCCAGAAAACTGCGAATACTATGATAAAAAAAGGTTGCACAGATCACATGAAGTACATCTACATGTCATTTGCAATATGGCAACGTGCCGGGGGTACCGCGGGCTCGACAACGTGATGGCGGCGCACGACAGACCAACTTTGCGACGGCCGTAAGCCCGCTTCTTCGGAACTGTCGTCCGTGGTACCGGCCAATCGATCTTCAAGCACAGAACACCGAGCGGCTGCCTAGAAAGACTGGCTTGTCTCCCGTTCGAACGCCTCTCTCCACGCAGCGAGATTGCAGCTCCGTGGATGATATTTCAGGGGTCGCTGCGCGCAATCGGCGTGTTGTTGTAGCTGTTACCTCCCTTAGGCATTACCTTCTTCAGTTTCGACAAGCTTAATAGGGAAACCATTGCTGACTTCTTTGCCTTCTTAGCATTGACAGATTTACCTTTGTTGAGCTGTGAGGTCCATGCAGTGGCAATAACAACAAGCGAACTCATGTGCTTTATGCTCCTCTTTTTCCGCTTTTACGCCAAAGTGATGAACAACGAGTAAGCTGGAGGCGAGAACGGCTAAGGCTTCCGAAGGCCAGCAGGTGTGAATAATTCACTCGCAAAGTACTCATTTGCTTGTGTCTGTTGTATTTTCTCCAGCTTCCTTTTGTGGCTTTGTAACTGCCGAATTCCCGCACGCCGATTGCTCGCAGCGCCGTCAGGCGCTTTCATTTCGCAGCAGCCGTCGACGTGGGCAGTGAACGGAAGACTAGCCAGTCTTTCTAGGGACCAGAGCAGCGGAGAAAACAACAAAAGCGCGATTGGGTATACTTTTGGCACCTCTCTCCTCCAAGGTAAATATCGTCCAGGTGTCGCGGCCATGAGCTTTTGTGCTCATACTTCAGTTTCGGTTGCGAGCAGATCAGTTTTTTTTCTTGGTGACTTTTTTGAAAATATACGTGAGCCTGTAGCACAATATAGATTGGGTAGTATTCTGACACCATATTAAATCGCCCGGCAAAAATATCTTATTTTTTTAGGGGTGTCTGTGTTATTTGTTTAAGGAAGACATGGCGCGACGAGTCCCGAGCGTCTTACCCCTCTACTGCCTATGAGATGACGACTTCAGTTGATAAGAACTCCGAGCAAAAACTCATGAATCAGAAAGGGTGATCATAATACGAGTAGGACACACCTGGCGTTTCTAAAGCTGTTAGCGAATATATGAATTTAATTTTTGAATTTTATTGAAGTTTAATTCTTTCGAAGCTGGCCAATTGGCGACAGAGACAAAAGGCACAATTGTCTGACAAAGGTATCTCTCTCCTTTCCAGTTCGTGCATGCACCGCAAAACGAACATGCGACGCATTCAGATCGATTATGTATATAAATAGTTGTACATGAAACAAAACAGATATCGAATTTAGTGTATATACAAATCATATAAAGGCACCCTTAAAACGAGCAAACAAATGTACTATGATAAAGGTGGCTATAAAGAAATGTAAAAAAATTAGGGTGTGCGTATGTTAATATGGCCTAGAATTTAGTCTGCCTCAACGGGCAACTTGTCTCCCAGCTGTAGATGAGAAATTTAGCCAGTTCAATACAACCGCTAGCCTGGGTTTTTTAAGGTGCACCAAGCAGTGGTGATACACGACCGCACGCCGGTACGATGCTCATCCAGACATAAACGGGCAGGGGTGGGGATTGTACCCAAGATTACCGGGTTAAATAAATGTCACTGCCCACAAAAAGTGTCTTTAGATATTTTCTGTTTTTTAATCTAAAACAAGTATTATAAACATCTATAAAGGTTCCGATAGCATTCAGTACTTGAGTCACTTGGTTGCCTTTAGTATACTTCCCATAGTTTGTACAAATTCCTGGAAGTCCTTGCAAAGAGTGCCTAAAGGTCTATGTGTGTGGATTACATTGCATGATTTTATATCACACATCATCATAGAACGTACCATCCCGGCTCTAGAAGCAGCCAGGTTCACGTTCACGCTGCATCTTGCCAGTAGCGAGAGCTACGCAAGCTCGCTTTAAGCCAATTTTTGGTTGCTACCCCCCGCTGTTTCTGAAGGAGCTCGCGCGTTCAATCCAAATCTAAACTTCAAGACCAGGCTTGAGTTCTATGGTTGCGAAGTGCTACGTATCAACCTGCTTGGGGGATTCAACGCAATAAGGTACCTTGCCCTTAAACTCTCTAATGAATGTTAAGTGCATCCAGCACTACGGGCTAAAGCCCCTGATAAAATAAAGTCATTGCGGACGCTACTCGCGCGTTCTTACAGTTGAGTGTGGCCTACCTGCGCTGCACAATAACTACACATCTGCGAATTTACGGTGGATCTAACGGTCCTAGTAATAGATTTTGCAATGGAAGGAGGGATCATGAATTCCTTCCCGTATGCAAGTCTACAAAAATCCTTGCATCCACTAATTATTATTCATGAGTGGCGTATGGCGCAAGCTCGTCATCACTAATTGGCTTTCACTGACACCCCTTCATCTACACGCGTTTTTTGGAGCGCTTCTCTTAGGCGCAGTTTCCTGGTTGAGCGGCGTCGCCGTCGCCGTCGGCGTAACCGCGCGTTGCATTATCGGACGCTACCCATAATGACGTCGCACGTGACGTCACTGAACCCGGGAAGCTTTTCCCGCTAAATTTAGCGAAAACATTTTCCGCCATAATTAACCAGAACAATTTACCCTCATGACGTCACGCGCGACATCCCGTGTGACGTCACTTGAATCAATGTGACATCACGTGAAATTTAGGGGAAATATTTTCCCACTATATTTAACGCCCCCCCCCTCCCCCTCCCCCCCCCTCCCCCCCCCCCCATGGACGTCCCGTTACCTTAACACTAATTTAATTTCCCCGCTAAATTCAGGGGATATATTTTTCGCAAAATTTTCCACTAAATAGGAGGGGGGCAAGATAGGAGAAGGGAAGGGTACGGAAGGGGAGGAGGGGCATACCCTACCCTCCGTACCCTTGCCTCTTCCTCTTCAAGAGCTGCGCTCTATTTTGGCATTGCAGAGAATTGTAGACGTAATTTGTTTTTGTTTTGATGATTGTACAACGTGCAAATTACAGTGCGAGGCAGTTAATATACATTTAAGTCTTTATTATATGTATAATATACTATCATATTCACTAAACGCCTATTTTAAGCTATACCTAATGCATTAAACGTTTCTCAATTGAAAATTAGTTTTTCGTTGTCAGCCCTGACATTATGGCATTCAGTAGACAACAGGCATGCAAAAATTATAAGCATCCAATATATATTTATTTGTTTAAATACTGATGAAGTATGACAGTAACAGAAATAGCAGTAGCTTCAAAACTACGCTGGCAAGTTTCTTTCTTTAAGCAGACAGTGCAATAATCTTTGTAGAGGAAATGAACGATACACATTTAATTTTTGTGCACATGGAATGGGGAGTAGGAGTAATGAAAAGACAAGACTGGAAAAAAGTTCAAGAACAGAAAATGTATATAGAATGTAAACGATGCGAAGTTTAATTACGTTTTCAAATATAATTTAGCTGCCGCGTTTTCTGTATAAACAAAAACGATAAATTAGAGCTGTAAATCTATAAGACATGAGACAAAAGAAAAAAAAGAGTTAAGGAAGAAGCATATGTAGATAGAGATAGAGAAAGCTGCAAATCGTAGAGTTCATAGGTATATTTAGACTGTCCTCTTTCGTTCTAAACTAAAATTCACGGCTGAACATATCACTATCTGGATCGGCAGGACCAAGTGCCATATGCCCTCGGTATGAAACCATTAATATCTGAGATTCTTTTTCTCAGTGTGTACTCCAGAACTATTACACATTGAAGTATCATTGATGCTTGTGTTGGTGAAAACAAAGGTTTCTTGAGAGATGGATATGAGTCACAATATTTCATGCTGAATCGCAAGTCGGGTTCATCAAATGTAGCAGCTGCGAAAACCAGCCTTCTGGTTTATGAACACACGAACAAAATTTGACCTCCCGCTATAAGGGTAGGCCTAAAGATTTGCATATTTCCTTATCCAAGCCAGTTACGATTACACTGTCTTGGGTCTATACTGGTCCAATTCATCCGTGCTTCTGTTCGTGTTGTCCCTGCCTACGCTCCAGGTTCTCTTTTCAATACCCGAACGCTAATTGTGAGAGATCTCAGTTACAAGTGATCGGCAAATCTGTCTAATTTTTTTTTCTTCTAGCAAGGAAACAAAAATAAATCTAATTGAGAGCCCATGGCATATTGTATAAATGTTGAAGTATAATATTTGAAAGAAAAAGCAAATAAAATATCAATTGTCTTTGCGAATGAGAGTTTGTATGAGCATACTGCTTGATGTATAATAAACAACACTAAACTAAGGGCCTCAAGGATTTCTCTACCCTCGATGCTACATGCCCATTTGCATTAGGTTCAACGGACTTGAGAGCGTTAAACTTCAATCCAACATCAATCCTCGCTGCAGTAGTGGCCGGACGCAAAATGCCTCGTGTCAAGGCACAGTCTAAAATTGCGAGTCAATCTCTGCTGCTGTCGACCTGCTGGGGATATTGGTGTCTGTCATGGCTGTCTCGTGCAGCTTGCTGATCATGATCCTTCTGGTGCGCATGGGCGAGAGTGGCACCACGGACAAGGTGATATCCGGCTTGCCCAGGTTCAGCAGGCGAAGCACTTGGTTGCGGGGTAACGTCTCCAGTGCCGTGCCGTCCAAGTGCGTCATCACGTCTCCAGGGTACACCATCTTGTTATTCAACGGAGTAACGTCGGCGTGCTAAAAAAAAGTTGCGTCTTTGTTTTTGCCAGACGGAACGACTTAAGGCCCGTTCGCACACTTGCGCGTGACTACAACCGACTGAGACAAGACCGGTTTTTAAACCTCTTAGAATGACTTACCACCCGATCCGCAGCAATGCAGCCGGTCGTAAACCATCACAAAAGGAGTCAAAACCGGTCTTGCCTATGTCGGTCAGAGTCAAGCGCCAGTATGTGAACGGGCATTTACGAGTAGCTGATTACTTGTAACCAGTTACATTTTATTTTAACACTTCAAAGCTACAATTATTTTTTTTCGGTAACGTTCGCTGTAATTCAATTACTATTTGTCTGTAATCAATTACAAGTAATCAATTCTATGTTTCCGATAGAGCTCACATTATTGAGTTGAGGCCTTTTACGTAAAAATTCGCTCTGTCTGCCCGTGCTTGGCTCCTCTATTTTGCACCAAGGTTGGAGAATTTTTTTTTTTCTCCACACAAACTAAAAAAAAGAAAGATACCAAGATACCAGAAGGATTAGAATGTCAACGCGCTCAGCGACGCTTCAATTGTCGAGCTGTCAAGGGTGCCTCGTTTCAGGTGTACGGGTTGTTATGATCAGGGTTTGCCGCGGCGTAGACGACTGTGTTGTGCACTGATCTCATCCAGCCATGACATCCCCCCCCCCCCCCCCCCCACTTTTTATCTCGAAAGAGTTCACCAGTGCGTCCTTGTATAGAACGGGTCAAGGCCAACTCTTCGGAAGCCAACTCGGCGACGACCCATTCGTCGAATAGGCCCATTCGACCTAGGGCAACTCGTTGAAGGAAAACTCGTCGAGGAGGCTAACTGGCAGCCGATTTTTTAAAGCAAAGATATATCATATTCATAAAGTTTACAGGAAATACAGCCCTATAATAAACCCTAAAATTTCCACACGATAATTGACATTTCTGATATTTCTTGTCGAAGATAACAACTTGCCGTTTTCCTCACGTTCACGGCACAGTCGGGCACGGTGACTACGCCGCGCATGTATCACTAGGACGCGTGTTTACCTACTCGGTCCCCCAGTTTACGCCGCTTCACGACAACAAACTGCGGCGGCTCATTAAAAAGAGAAAAGAAAAAAAGTCATACAGGAAAGGAACAAAAGGATGATCCTGATATATTTCTCAATTTGCCTCGAGGTTCTTTCCTGTCTTTGCCCTCTTGTAAGTTTCTTCCAGTCTTGTAACTTTACAAGGGCGCTGTCTCTAGTCTAAACACAGATAAAAATTTAGATGAAAAGATATCAAGGAACCACGAACTTTTACCTATACTCGATCCGTCTCACTAAAACCGTGCAGTACAGCCAAAGCTACTGAGGAGAGAGCGTATGCCAACCTTTTCAAGAGGAGGGAAAGGAGGATCTGGACTGAAAGGGGGGGAATTCTCCGTTCCTCCTTTCCCTCCTCTTAACAGGCTAACATACGCTCTCTCCCCTGTAGCTTTGGCTGTACTGCCAACACCACCTAGAGCTAAGGCCGCAGCGAACCGGGTTATGACGTCACAGACTCACGACGAGTGGGCCGACCTGGCAGGGAGGCTTTTCCGCAAAACATTAGCTTTTTTCGCTTACATTTCTGTTCTCCCGGGACGCCAGATGGCGTACGCTCCGGCCTTTCGTTTATATTATTTTTTCAGCTTTCTTCATCCCGGGGCTGTTGCGCAATGACAAATTTTGCCTCGTTTGCGCAAGGAAGGCTTGCGTTGCGCAAGGATCGCGGCGGGAGTACGCGAACTACTTCAACCTTACTTTCGTGTTTGGTTTGTATGAAGGTTAGCACGTGGTGCTTGACGAGTTACGGGCAGCTTTCGGGCTAGCCATGCCTCATAAATGCGGTGCCTCTGGGTGCCATGTCATCTACGAAACGTTCTCGACTAAAGTGTTTCTATTTAAGTCCAGAGAAGATGAAGAACCGTGAAAAGCATAGGTGCGGACGATCCCTCGAGAAATTCTGGTGCTTTTGACGCATACCAGGGTGAGAACTTTCGTATATTTTCACATCGTATGATTATTACCTAATTCCTTCGTTTAATTTGACGCCTGTATATGACAACGAAGCCGACAAGTAAAAGCTAGCTTGCGCTCTTTGTTTCAAAAACTTACTTTTGTAGCGCAAGCTCCAGTTCACAAAACCAGGGTCAGGAGCCTTTAGCCTTCGCTCTATGTCCCTCTTTTTTTCTTATCAATGTAGCGCGTATTATTTAGGGAATCGATGTGATCTGCTTCACTGAAGTCGGGTCACGCTATGTTCACAGGAAAGATTCGACTGATAGCTTGCAAGACAGTTCCGGGACGTACTGGCAACTGGTTGGCTTGCAATCTATGAAGGTGAAAATAAAAAGCGACCGCAGAGTACATTGCCGACAATTACGTCTGAAGACGAGCGATGTGAAGAGCTCGAAAAACAAGTAGACACGCCACGACCCAGCTGCAACATAGTCTTGCCAAAGTCGTGGCAGAATACGCAGTTTATACCGCTTTGAAAAAGTTGAAGTGTCAGAAACGCAGGGTAGCGTTGACCGCAGAAGACAATACGTATACTCTCTTGTCAAGGAATTGGGTCGAGGGCGCTTCTTTATCCCACTGTTGTCGTAGTTAATTTCGTGAGACGCGTTTACGTTGCTGCTCAAGAACTTTCCGAACCAGTGCCAGTTCGTCACTGAGCTCACAATGGGACTGCTCTCTATCAATGAGACTTCTGACTTCGACACCTGCGGAGAAGGACACACAGGTGATCGCGTGCAGCACTTGTTGTGGTGCAGCACGTACGTTGTGATGAAAAACTATTGTGGAAGGTTGAATGACCAGATTTATGGGTCTAATACTAAGTCAGAGACAAGAAAATGCGAATCAATAAAATCAAAATAATTATTTTATATACAACACAACAGTTGTCACATCGTTATCATTGTGCAACGGTATTAAAGTGTACATATATATATATACCGTACATGTGCTGTGTCTTAGTGTCGCGAAAGCTACAGAACGACATCTAAGATGCTTGTGCTGCAATCGTGTCAATATGGATACTAGAAGGAAGTATGGATACACAAGATGATACAATTTCAAGCTTTCAAAGGTGAGAAAGCTTCTATTCACAGCTTCTATTTGTAGTTTGAATTAACGCAGGTAGTTTTGGGCATGAAGCTCCCACACACATGTTCCTAACTGATAATTATGTTTTGAAGTTTTCTAATACCCGTGCCACGCGGGCAGCTCGAATACTATTTACAACGAATGACATTTGAACGATCGACCAATCAGCGCGCGACACTCCGAGCGTGAGGCATTCCACGCCCGACAGATCGCGAGCCGATTCGTTGATCACACGAATGTCATTCGTTGTAAATGGCATTCAAGTTGCCCGTGTGGCACGGGTATAAGTCTGCCTGCACTCAGTTCAATCAAAGCGTCTACACTTTGATTTAGACGGTGTCCGTCCCTCTTTTTCGGGTCTTTCTTCATTTAATTTTTAGTTTTCATGCCCCAGTCTTGACATAATTATACTTTATGATAAACATTTCCCAGCTGGCCTGCAGTTTTGTTTTTAAATCATTTTACTTCTGCTAAAAAATACATTTGAACACACTAAATTTTTCAGAGCACCAGAATAGCATGAGTCGAGAAGTTTTGAATTCTCCTCTTTTAATTACACCACCAACAAATTCAGTAACCACATGCGAGCAAGAACTACCTACTATATTGTTTGCTGTACCGCATTTCGGCGGGTCCCTTCACTGCTTACAATAACGTTTCAAGGCAATTATTTTTTGTTTGTTTTTGTCTATTCGGTTCTAGAGATAATTAAAGGGGCGGTGCAACGATGTTCAATTGGAATGTTTTTCACTTTACACGAGCTTACTGGCACTAGTGGGACTAAAGGATACTCGCACGCAACGCCACTGGCCAAGAAACTCCTTTGTTGCACTGTAATTTCGAGGACAAAACCCAGCGTTTTCATTCAATCTCCCCTTCACAAAACCTGATGACGTAGCTGGGCGGCAGCAGTACCGCCGAGTGACGATATTTGAATGCGGCTCATAGATTAGACCCGAGCATTGCGTCGACACTCGATTTGGGCTCGTAATAATGTATAGCTCGAGAAGCATTCGGGTAGTGTCCTGTGTCCAATCGCTGCAATGACGACAACAGCCGAATTATAACAATGCCTGGAACTCAGCGCGTGTCCTATGCCTTGCCAACCCCAGCGCGTGACTATGATCAACATTGGCGGCATATAATCGGCTCCAGATCACGTGGCCGCTTGTTCTGGATGCGAGTTGAGGAAGTAAACTCTGCTTGTTTTTCTTTTTTTTTTTTTTCTGCGACTTCGATTGCGTGTGGTGAAAAACGAATGGATATTTCACAGGTGATTAACGTCAGGGATCCGCTCTGAGCGGTTTTTCCGCAAAATACAAAACTCGTTGCATCGCCCCTTTAAAGCACATTAGAGTCTGGTGCCTAAAACGAAAACCCACCTTTCCCGAAACTTCGTTAACTTTGTTCTTGCATATCATAACAATAATTGCATGTTCTAATAAGCTGCCCGTGTAATAAAATATGCTTCCCAGTCATATCGATGTTTATAACCCCTGTTTTGCCTATTAAAAAGTGTTAGTGTAAATAAAATGCCATATATACTACGTCGGTAAATCCATGGGCGACTCCTTCAGTCCAGCGCTTTTCCGCGGCACTCTCCGGCCGACTCGTGTGACGTCACCTGAGATGTGCTGCGGCTTTCCACTCTAGGAGGTGTAGGTACTGCACGGTTAAGTGAGACGGAGTATAAGACCGTTATACAACCCTTTCGATGAATCGCCCTTCAACAGATTGCCCATTTCGACAAATTGCCCAACGACGAATTGCCCTATTACGAATTGGCCTATTCGACGAATGGGCCGTCGACGAGTTGACCGTTGACGAGTTGACCGTCGACGAGTTGACCGTCGACGAGTTGACTTTGAACGA